TTGCGATTTTCCCTGGGCAGGAGAATCAGTCACGTGGGGAGGGCGCGGGTGAGCAATTATCACGGTGACAGTGAGCCAGTTTGCCGAGCAATCGTCACACCAGCATCGAGCACGGATGACGAAATCGCGGCAATTAACAACTCGGACTCGGACCGCCAAGCCACCGCCGCATCAATTACGACCCCAGCGGCGATTGTGAGAACTGTTAATTGCAGTGCGCATACGGTCCCACGGCAGCCACGTGCTATAAATACTGCATTCCTGGTGCCACCTTTACCTCTATCTGCGAATGTCTCTGATGATGGGCTCGAGTGAGAACCCGAAACGTCAGGCCAATAAACTTCTTGTCCCAGTGATCGCATCTTCATCTTCTGAATTGGAAGGAATCGTAATTTTCTACCGAATTAGCAAAATAATGAATGTTTTTATGCATGTTTTCAATTAAATATAATCGAATTCGTTAGGGCGTCGGAAATCAATGAGGACAATGCCTGCTATTTGAGTAGTCATTTTTTACAGAGTAGAGTTTTGGCATGCTGCCGGAAAGAGGTTCGTTCGAAAGCCAACATCCTGCGGTAACCGAATTATTATAAAATTATGTTGGTTGATGATTAGTTCTCCAACTCTACTTAATTAGTCTTTTCGAAACGAGGATGCATTTCGGAATTTCGGTTGACATTTCATGAGTTATCCCACCTACTGTATATTGTGGATCGTATCATACAAGAATGATGGTAATGGGGGGGAGGAGTTTACGGGTGGGACAGCATGCCGAACAGTAAGCTGACGAAATGCGGAAAAACGCAGAGGGCATTCGGTGACGAAAACGATACTTTCGAGTAAAATGATGAATGCATGCTGATAGGACATCCAGGCAGGTATTCAACTGCGCTTCACCTTGAAAGAGCGCCTGACCATCGAACAACTGAGCCTATCCTCCTGGCAGACGTTTCTGTTGGTCTCCGTATCGGTTTCTCTGCTTCTGGATACAACTGCCAGACACGAGTGCTTAAGTTGATTTCACAAGTACATACATCAGCACACAGTCTACTGACAGCTAACTGAGGTCATTCACCCTACCGTTGCCATGACCTTGAGAGCTAGTTCATGTACGCCTCACCACCAACGCATGTGTGGCAGGGGAAGTCAGCCACCGTGGTCGCGTCCATCCTCAGTCGCCGTGCCCTTAATAGGGCACGATGTGTGCAGGAAGGGAAGGGGAGGTAGGCGCAACGAAAGCACCTCTCCCTAATAATCAGTTCGTGCTCGAACTGCCAGTATTCCCTGGGTGAAGCAGTATTGGTCCTCGTCATTTGTGACGGACAAATACCTAAACTGGCCAGGTTGCTGCTGCTGCTGCTGCTGCTGCTGCTGCTGCTGCTGCTGCTGCTGCTGCTGCTGCTGCTGCTGCTGCTGCTGCTGCTGCTGCTGCTGCTGCTGCTGCTGCTGCTGCTGCTGCTGCTGCTGCTGCTGCTTGCCATCTGCTTTTTGGAGAAATTGTTCAGTGGCCGGCCTAATCGAATCTAGCCTCTAGACGTACTCAGGCAGATAGGAGATCGATTGATTAACGCATTAAAACGACTCTCACGGGCTTTCACGGGGTTGGATTATCGATTTCCCATAGACATCGGATTAACCACTTACCGCCATGGCATTCACGATGAATGAGTATAATCCACTAGAAGTCGTAGCTTGGAGGTCTGTTTATCTACAGTACGAGACCTATCTCATTAAACCTCATAATGGAAACTGATGAATTTCTGGATGTCTTCAACGTTGCGCACTTTTCTTGTTCATCCACTTCCGTAAATTAATGTCATTTTCTTGAAGAGAAATTGTGTTTACGTAATTATATCAAGAGAAATATGATTAAATTTTAGCGAAAATGGACGTTGGAATATATCTGTGCAATTTCATATGCTAATACATGTCCTAAACTCGGGTAACACATATGAGTGACTGTTTGATTGATAGGATAGTAATTTACCTGCGAGAGTTTTAATAAGCAGATTCAGCCGAACTTGAAAATCAGTTTTATGTCCGATGCTAACCGTGGTAACGAACTTGCTAACATAAAGGTTGTTTTAAGCAAACTAGGTGTTTTATCATGTCTTAAAAGTTATATTAGCAGACCTGTGCGATTTGGTGCCCTAAGCTGCAGTAATGGCGTAGACAGGGATTTCATCGTTAAAATGGGCCGAAATTGTTTTGCCGTTGGGGAAATTCTACCTGATGTCACATAAATGCCCACCACCGAATCGTCATTTCCAGTTTTAAACATATTAAATACTACTTATAATGTAGCTTAGTTTCGGTGCATACATTATTCAGAAATAGAACGAGCAAAACAATTATAGTTTCAGCAAAATATCATTATTTATATGGGCGCTCTGTCGCGCATTCATAATCGAAGAACGGTGTTCAAAAGCGAACAAAAACAGTGCAAATAACCGCAAATTATATGGAAAAAACTCATGTTCTTACGTTTACGGTGGAATGATATTTGTACTGTTTAGGAGCGTGAAAGAAACGGCCAGGGGTGTCAACTTTCTACCTGGTCACAAAAGTACACAGACATCCGTCAACAACGTGCAGTATTAAAGCACTTCCTAAAGAGGTAACATAATAGAGAAAGCTTTCTCACTGATCGAATGCATATTCGTTGCTGACTTTCGATGTGGACAGCCCTTTTTCTCGAAAATGAAGTTTGATGTCTAAATGGGTTTTCACATGTGAACCAAACGACCTTCTTCGTGAAAAGGAGCTCCCAAACGCTTGTTACTTAAGTAAATGCCTTTAAGAATTATCGTATTTTAGAGTGTTTAACAGACGGATAATTTAGATTCTGTCTTTATGGACAGTCGGGTGAAAACACAGAAATCATCAAGTATTCAGCAATATTTTAAGGCCGATCTGAAACCCAACGTAATCCAAAAGGGACGAAAGGCGTAAATTAATTTAACGGAAGAAAAGTTCTCTCTGAAAACACAAAATGATATGTTTACGATGACGTCTGTCTGTTCTATTTAAAATTATTAGGCCCCGATCGGCCTGGCAGCATTTCGCCTAATGAAAACCTTTTTTCCTACGACGTCGCCATCGGTGAACTCGAGCAAATTCCAGCTTATCTTGTTGAACTACATCTCATTCAACTCAGACAAATCAAGATTACCACGAATTTCTGGAAAACTGTTTTGGAATTTATATTCAGAATGTGGGCTGTTGACAAACCTCCCTATATGAAATCGCACTAATTCTTAAATGATATTTAGATGTAAACTTCACTAAAACACTATTACTAAAAGTTATTTTATTCGAACTTTCATATTTACTACCATTTTATATGAGAACACATTGTATACATCTAAAAACGAAGTTTACTAAATTAAAGTCATTTCTGACAGTCTGCTACCGCATACTTATGAATATTCGCGGCTCCCCCCTTCCTTCATCAGCGACTGTTGCACTTGCTTTGGGGACTGTTTGATGGCCGACCATTCGCGTCATTAATCGCTGTAATTTCATTACAGATGCCGAATTAGTCATCATCTGATGATAAACTCCAGTTTTGAAGAAAGGGACGCGATCGCTGGGACAAGAGCTTTATTTACCTGACGTTCCGGATCCCTGTTCGAACCCATCATCAGAGAAAAAAGCATATACGGGTGGTTCATGCACAAGTGGCTGCAGTATCTATAGAATTCAGTCGTCGTGCTACAGCATACCTATGAATATTCACGGCTCTCGCCCTTCATCAGGGATCGTTGCACTTGGTGTGCTGATTGTTTGATGGCCGACATTTGCGTCTTTGATTGCTGTAATTTCATCGCCGGTGTTGGATATTGGTGTGGTGACTGCTCTACCATCTGACCCACCGATCCTGGTGTTGGGAACAGTGTTCACCTGTGCACTTCACTCGTGGCTGATTACCCCGCCTAGGTGAAGTCTCAGCACTGAGTATGGAAGGGGAAGGTCGTTACACTTGTTAACGGACTGGGGGCCAGTGAACCGTGACTCAAGCAGCTCGCGGCTCACGCGGTTGTTACCTCTAGCGAGGATTTCGGCCTCGTCTAATTTGAACGTGTGTCCGGATGTCGTCGAATGGGCCGCAACCTGAGTGATGGCAAGTCGTTTGCTAGATTTGGTTCAGTTGTGGAAAATGTAACTACGTCGAAGAAGCCGGAAGAGTACTCCTAACGCGGATGGGGAACACACGGCAGCAGTGCAGTTCATTCGGCCAGGCCGAAATTCCCGCCAGAGTTGACAGTCGCTTGAGCCGCGAACTGCTCGAGTCATGCACTCGGGTACAACAGGAAATTTACTCCCCACTTGCCTGTTCTGAGCAAACGGGGGGGGCGTGATATGGGCGAGTTTATTTTTGATTTAGAGCGATGTGTGCTTAAGAGGTTTGGACGGCGGTGTTTTACCGCAAATTTTCACGGAAGTGCATATGATCGAGTCGAACCATGCGGTGACCGAAAGTTTGTGGGGAGGGTCCAACGGGTGTATTATGATACACCTGACACCGCTCCGTCAGTCTCAGTGTGATTAATTCCGAAATGACCGGTCCGGCCTTCCCTGAGGTGTTTTAACCGAGAGGCGGAATGCTGGCCTCCTTTTCTCCTCTGAACTTCCAAGGCTGAGACCATCGGACTATTACGTAGTGGCGAAAAATCAATGGAAGGAGTTTTTCAAAGAAAACACATAGAGACTGGCAAGTTTTTCATTGGCAAGGTCGGTAATGCCGGTCAGTCATATTTTAATCCCACAAAGTGAAGATTGATCTGAGGCGGTCCAGAATGGGGCTTTACTTCAAGTGCTCCCGGGAGTGTCGCCCAGCCGTTTTGCTTGACCTCATGGAGGAATGCAGCGTTTCACTTAGCTTTTAGATTCCTAGCCACAGATCCTTCAGCATGTCACACAGGTCACTGATGATGCATGGAACGCCAGATCTCCTGATTCAAGTTTAAACTCGGGGTCTCTTGTACCTGGATTTGGGATGTGAGTGGGTGAATACACAAGCAGACCAGAAATGGGTATCTCAATCTCTGATTTCTAGCTGCTTCTGACACCATAAAGACTGTGGTGCCCGCATGATCGAGAGCTTCATCTCAGAAGTGTCTTAAACGATCTGAAAACTCTGCTCGACCAAACGAGCTAATTGGTGGGTTTTGTGCAGTAGTAGTAATAGTAGCAGCAGCAGCAGTAGGAGAAGGCAGAGGTGATGATGATGATGATGGTGGTGGTGGTGGTGGTGGAGGAGGAGGAGGAGGAGGAGGAGGAGGAGACAAAGGGATCTACGCTCTCATTCGCATTCGAGTTTTCCCACCCGGCGAGAACTAAAAAAGCGAAACAGGGGCCAAAGTGAAGATGACTGACTTTCATTATTTCTCTGCTTACTAACAACCGCAATTTCGTAATTGGTGACATCACATTTCGCTATCACCTGGGGGCGGCTTTCACCTGGTTGGGCTACGGCCAGTGAGCAGTGACTATTAATCAGGAATGGCTTTTTAAGGCTTCTTCGTCGTTATCATAGGTGGCCTGAACTCAGTTTAGTTAATCATTGAACCAAACTCTCAATACTGCACCAACGAGGCCACGCCGACTGCGATCTAACACATTCGGCCACATTAGTGTGACATGCAGTGATCTACCCTGGTAACAGACCAGAGTGCATACGGCCCGCGAAGGACAGATCGGTACACGCCACTATCGTGTGCCCGGGTGAGTATTGAGTCAGACATGACCACCGTAGTCTACCTTGTCTCTTCCGGTCGCCCTTCTCGAGCATTCCTTGTGCGTTCTAAAATGTTGGACATAAATTCAGACTGATTTACAGTGGGTGCCTGCTATTCAATCTTTCTGAATTCTTCGGACATCACCCTTCGCCGTGAAGGGACTCACGGAGACCAGGCGACGAGAGAAGCTGCGTGCGTACAAAACCGATTCATCCAGGTTTGTTGGCACTGGAAGAAGGTCTACAAACATAATGTGGTTTGCAGTTAGATAATCGCAGGAGCGTTGTCCAGGCAATTAATGCAACTAGATTTTAGCATACAGACCTCATTGGCAGTTCAGAACATTTGTCCCGATTAAAAATCGATCAGCACTCGACGTTAGGCAAAAGGTATTTGTCCCTACAAATCCTATAGAGCATGCCCTCAGATAACTACGGGCTCGCATATTCATACAGGTGAAACTGTCTGCCGATTAATAGGCGAAATTGGCGAACGTGACTGCCAGTGCTCCAAGGTACGGCTCCCAGACGGCTGAAATGTTTTTTTCACAAAATACCTAGTAGACGCTTAACAAAGGCAGATGGAACTGAAATACCCGCTTCTTGCCCTGTTGCCGTCACTAGCAATCCACCTGACAAATTTCAGGCCGAGAGATCTCAGATGTGAACCCCAGTCATCGAGCATGTCTAAACCAAACCTCCCCCACTTGGGCCACTAGCCACTTGGAACAAATCATGATTGATATTTTAGGTTGATTAACGTTTTACTTAAACATGTCAGTAGGTCGTTTAGATAAGTTTACATTCATCGGTGGAGCGACTGGAAAATGGGACGGTAGATCCAACGCAGTCGTCCCATTAAAAAGACGCCGGGTGAAAAGCAGCTCCTGCGTGCATAGTATATAGTAGGTGATTGACGCAATCACTACTGCATCGCCTGCATCCGAGTCGTTAACTGCCACAAGTTCGCCACCAGTGTTTCCGGTGGCAATATCGCTGAGCCACATGCATTATCGCGCCAATTACCAACGCTGGTGGTGAAGTAACGGCAGTGCTCTACTCGGATGCCGACGAACAAGCAGTCCTAGAACGGAATGCGGTCGATGCTAATTTTGGTGATTCGCATAAGGACTGTATCCCATGCATACTGCATATCCATTTCTAACGAGCTCAAGCCCTTTAAGATGTGCCGTTCAACGACATAAAACTGGCGAAACACGTGTCTGGACTTTTAACTGGTATCCATGCTGGGAGGATGGTGGTTCAACTGACACTAGCAAAGTGTAAACGCTTGTGCACATCACAACTCGGCGAACGAAATTATTGTTTGGACAATCGACTGTCTTCCTTTTTAACTGGCAAGGAGTCTAGTTCGTGCAACTTGCTGCAAAGACGATGGACTTGTGAAACTTGTTTTTGAACTGGCTACGTCCGAGGAGGTTTAAAGGGGACGAATCCAGCAAGAATTGGACAACAGGAATCTGCATTTTGCTCAGAATTGTTGGACGTCTTCCTGGTGTAGAGTAACAGCGAACCCACTAGCAGATATTCGAACCTTCCCATGGAGATCGAGTCTTCGATGTTCTCTAGATTTAGTTAAAATTTTAGCTGAATGTATGCATGAGCATCCCCAATCATGTTACAAAACTTTATCGAAAAATCGCCTTATTAAGCCAAGTATTTATGCCCACTTGCTTACTGACTGAAGGCTGGACTAGTTGCCAGTGGCCTACGTTCACCTTCACGCCATCACGATATGGCTTTATATTGATTTAAAATGCTAAAGCCAATTGTAAAATTGTAAATTGCGCATCTCTGAAATCTTCTGAGAACCTCTGGTTCGACTATGTAGAATGTTTTACGCCTAAAAAGTTTATTTACTCACAGGCAGGCGTCCTGAAGTTTGCCAATGAACCCTGAAAAAACCACTTCCTTCTCACTGACTTTTGAGAGTCCTATGCGTCTCATGGAGGGTATGCGAATATAGTTCACTTTTCATACTTATTTTAACGGAAATGGCATGTTTTTCAAGCTACTTAACCAAAGGAAGCATTGATGGCACCGTTTGAAAAATGCCTCGGGTGCTGATTTGCCCTTAAGGTTTGCGATAGACTGGTTATGTGTCTCCTTCGAAAAGAAACAGAGTCTCCTATGCATTTCACATCCCCTGCAAAGGTGCTTTCTAATCCTGTTAGAGTAATGCAGCATATATCTATAAGACTGCATCGCATTGGTGGAATTGAAGATGACTGACTCCACGACTAATCGTCCGCAAGCAAGATATGATGTTATATAAATTTAAGACACAAAGGGTGATTATTTATTGGTCTAATTTCTGCATTTCTATAACTTTTTCCACTAATTTACCCCTTCTGAGAACCTGTGACTTGATGGTGTAAAATTTTGTAAGCCTCATAATTTTTTTACTCAGACGTCCTGAAGTTCTTCAGTGAACGGGTAAAATGCTATTCAGACACACCAGTGCGCCGCAGTTCTGTAAGTCCTATGGAAGATGTACTCATAAGCTTCACTTAGAATACTTATTTTAAAGGAAAGTACTTACTCCTCAAACTGTTTTGTCGGAGAAGAGAGGGGAGGCGTATTTTGAGAAGTGTTCTGCGTGCCCACTCGTTTTATATGGGTCGCAATCTTCTTATTACTTAGTTCCTCCAAAGTAGTCTAGTCTACTTCCTTGCAATTCAGATTTCCCGCAAAGGGGCTTTCTGATGATCTTAGAATAATGCAGTGTGTATCTGTGAGGCTGCATGGCAATGGTGGCCCTGGAGATAACTGACTCCATGAATAGTCACAGATGCTCCCAGTTACAAACTTAAAAAACAGTTTTTATTCGGATGCGAAATGTTTAAAGGATACTAACTCCTGCTATGTTCAGTCTGAGAAGGACAATGGAAGAATACATATTACTTATGTAATAAAGTCCTTCCGAATAAACATTGCGTAAGTGAAACTTATCTCGAATTTTTTACCTCAGAAACTTCAAACAGCCATGAGTCCTTCTTTTGACAACAGTGACTTAATGGCGACAAAAGTGCTTAAAATGTCAACCTTTAACAGTTACCGGACTGATAGCATAATACTATGAGAGATAACTTGCATTATGCATATATATGCTTATATTTTACAAAGTAATAAGTCCTTTGGGAACTATAACAGACTGTATTGCGTCGCCTTCTTATGTGTGGTAAATGTGAGAAACAAGTTGATTGCGTAATGCGGCCGTCGGCGCGAAAACCGACGCAGCTAGAACACTCCAAGAAAAGAGTTAACTAGTTAGATAGAAAAGATTTCGTCTACAAAATTCCGTGTGAAACCTGCAATGCATTTTACTGTGGTCAGACTGTAAAGTAGGCCTCTACACGCGTACACGAGCATCAGCTGATCAGGAAAAGACGAGTGTACCTGTCCCAAGTTGCCATGCATACACTGGAAAGTGGCCATAAATTTACTTGGGACTAAGCGCGCATTGTTAATGTCTGTGCACCTAAGAAGTGCCGAGAGTTTTTGGAGGCCGTACATTCCGATAAACCATGCACTAACCGACACACTGAGCTAGGCGTCATGCACAACAACCTCAGGGGAAAGTCAATCCGCACGAGATGTCAAACCAAGCCGTGAATAGCTGACAGGAATGAAAGGGTAGTATCGATTTTTGGACGTTTTAAAAAAAATTTAACATTTTTGCACATTTTCTGCACGTGTGAAGTCCAGGGCCAAAAATTTACGCAGTAGGGTTTATGGCATTTCCCGAAGGACTTATTGCTTTCTAGTCAAACTGCTTCGGATGCTCACATTTCAAAACACATATATGCATTACGAGAGCAATCACCCGATCTCTCACAAACGGAGTGCCGTGAACAGCCTCCTTAACCGAGCAAGAACCCACTGCTCTGACAACGAAACATATCAAACAGAACTGAATTATTTGTTCAAACTGTTTTCCCAGAATGGGTATCCTAGATATTTTGTACACCGATGCATGCGACGACAGGAGTTAAAAGAAAAAGAGAAGGAACTAGATTGTTCCGATCAGGCGCCCAAACCTACAAACTGGCGAACACTTCCATACATTAAGAATGTGTCCGAACTAGTTGAAAGACACCTGAGGAAGCACCAGATACATGTGGCGCACAAGCCGACGACTACACTTCGTAACCAGCTTGTACACCCTAAGGATAGGGTTGGCAATTTAGATAAGAAGGAAGTCGTCTATAAGATAACATGCAACACCTGTAGTGCGGTTTACTGTGGTCAAACCGGGAAATCGGCCTCTACACAAATACACGAACATCACTTGGCCGTAAAAAGGCGAGACTACTTGTCCCAAGTTGCCATGCATACGTTGGAAACTGGACACAAATTCGCCTGGGACAGGACCCGCATTGTAGGTGTCTGCTCATCCAAAAAGGGTCGTGAATTTTTAGAGGCCATCCATTCTGATAGCGCATGTATCAATCGACACGTAGAATTGGATACGGTGTACAACAGCCTCAAGGAAAAGTTGAAAAGCATTGGCCAATGAGAACATTATACCAGCAGAAGTGACAAGGCAAAATCGATTTTTTCGGCGTGTTTAAATGTTGACTGTTTTGCACACTTACTCCACGTCTTAAGACGACTTGGGGAACCAAGATCGAAAATTTACAATAAAACTTGTTTATCTTTCCCAAAGAGCTTATTTCTTTCGAATAATACATACGTATATATGCATGCCAAGTAAGCATGTGGAGCTCACTGTTTTAACTAGGATCTTGCTCGATCCAATTCTATCCGCCCGCCATACTGATACTGGACGTAACGAACGTTTTGTCATAGGACACATACCACATATAATAAGTAGGCAGCTAACTAAGAGTGCAGCAGGCCAGACTGTCTGCGTCTGGCCTGTTGCACTCTTAGTGTACTGCTTACGCATGATATATGATATATGTCCTGCGACACACAGCTCGTTGTCGCCAGTAGCAAGTTGGCGATCAGACAGACTGGGTGTGTGCTTGGGGTGTAGGTGTGTCCAGTTGTGGGTTCAGGTGATGGCC